GGAGGCGACCGTGAAGCTGCAGCACGCCACGAGACTGCCCGGAGGTCTGTGCATCCCTCTCCGCCTTCTCTCCATCTTCCTTCCCACTCCTCTCCTCCCATTCCACCTCTCCACTCTCCACTCCCTCCCCTCCACTCCCCTCCCTCCTCCCCTCTCCCTCCCCTCCCCTCCCCTCCCTCCCCTCCCCTCCCCTCCCCTCCCCTCCCCCATCCTCCCTCCCCACTGCTCTCACACCCGTCTTCCTTCCCTCACTTTCCCTCCCATCCTCCCTTCCCTACTCCTCCTCTCCTCCTCCGTCCTCAGTTCCCTTCCCCCCTCGTTGCTCTTAACCCCTGTGGCGTCACCTTCGTCTGCCGGTGCATGATTGAAATGGCAGTTGCAGAGGGTATATCCCATATTTGCCTTCCCAGGGCGCGCATGCAAGCAGGCGCACGCCATATCCGGTTGGGCAAGGCCTCCTCGTACGCGTTTTTTTTCGAGCAAGAAGACTGCATTTTCATGTTTGTTTTTATTATCGGTATTTCTTTCCGTAGTTTTTTCTGCCACACCAACCTCTCTCCAAAACATATATAGCCCCAAGTACACACGCACGCACCACCGCAAGCCCCCCCACACGCACAACGCACACGCACACGCACACACGCACGCATGCAACGCGCGCACTGGAAATTCAGGCTACTAAATCCGCCGTTGCAATTAAGGGGAGTAGCTCGTTCTTGCTCTTTACCTTATAGATAAAATTAGAAAAGTTGTAAGTACTTGGAGCCCGATTCTTTTAAATGTTCGTTCCGCCCTTAGTGTTCTTTCTCGTCTCTCTCTCTCTTCTATCTCTCTCCTCTCTCTCTCTCTCATCTCTCGTCTCCTCTCACCCTCTCCTCTCTCTCTCTCTTCTGCTCCTCTCTCTCATCTCCATCTCTCTCTCTCTCTTCTCTCTCCTCTCCGTCTCTCATCTCTATTCTATCTTCCTCTCTCTCTCTCCTCTCTCATACTCTCTCTCTCTCTCATCTCTCTCTCTCTCTCTCTCTCTCGTTCTCTCTCTCTTCTCTCTCTCCCCTCTCTCTCTCTCTCTCTCTCTCTCTTCCCTCTCTCTCTCTTCTCTCTCTCTCTCTCTCTCTCTCTCTCTCTCTCTCTCTCTCTTCTCTCTCTCCTTTCTCTCTCTCCCCCCTCCCTCTCCCTTCTCTCCTCTCCTCTCTCTCTCTCTCTCTCTTCTCACTCTCTCTCTCCCTCTCTCTTCTCTCTCTCTATCTCTCTCTCTCTCTTCTCCTCTCCTCTCTCTCTCCTCTCGGGTCCCTCCCCTCTCCCTCTTCCCTCCGACCCCCCTTTCTTCTCTCTCTCTCCTCCTCTCTTCTCTCTCTCTCTGTCCTCTTCATCGTCGTGTCCCGTCTCTCTCTCTCATTCTCGTCTCTCTCTCTCTCTCTTCTCTCTCAGCTGCTCCCTATCCTCTCCTCTCGGTCCCTCATCTCCCTCCTCGCCCTCTCTCCCCTCTCTCTCTCTTCTCNAGAAATCCAAATGTCAAAATTCCACACACACATACACACTACACACACACACACGACACACACAGCCACAACACACACACACACACACACACCAACACAAACACACACACACACACACAAAGGTAGGTAAACCGGGAACAAATGTGATTTGCACACACACACCATACCACACAAAGGATGGTCGTAAAACGGAAAAAAAAAAAAAAAATAGTGATTACAACACAGACACACACCACACACACACAACACACACACACACAACACACACACACACCACACACACACACAACACGCGACCACCACACATCAAAGGATGGATAAAACACGGGAAAAAAATGTGATTCGAAGATGAAGCGAAGAGGCCAACAGGAACAGGCCTGAATAATTTTTGCCTATTCGAATTTCGAAGACATTTATTACATGTATTTTTTCACGGCTTTCTGGACCTCTGGAGTATCTTCCAAGACCTGGTATTTGTTTGCCATAAGACATCTAACTTTGGCTTTTTTTTATTTGTGTATTGATTTCATTTAGATTAAAGTTAAAATAGAATCGTATAGTGTTAGTCTCACTGGTCGGTATTTCTCTTATTCAATCATAGCACTATTTAAGTGGGATTTTTAAATGGTATGATTTCTCTGCGTGTCTCTCGTCCCTCTCTCGTCTCTCGTCTCTCTCTCTCTCGGTCTGTCTCTTCCTCTCTCTCTCTCTTTCTACAGTCTATTTCTTCAAATTGAACGTCTCGGTGGCTCGTGTCCAAGCTATAATACTGAAAGTACAGACGCGCCCGTATTTGAGCAAGAAGAATAGGGAGAAGGCTAGGGGGGTGGGCTGGTGGGTCTAGTGTACCAAGCGCAGGAGACAATGATACACTAGTAAGTATGAAATAATTTTTTCCCTCTCTCTCTCTCTCTCTCTCCAGCTATATTACTGAAAACAGACGCTAGATTATGATTATTGTTTTTTGTCAAAGCCAAGACAAGCTTAAAGGGCAGTCATGAACAAAAACCCCGACAAATTCCTAAATTATCTCTCCACTATATACTGAAAACAGAACCAGAGAGAGGCGAATGTGAGTGAGGGAGCGTAACTTTACAGGAGTTACGGTGTTACCAGAACTGCAACACACGACACTATGGCATAGAATATAGAGCACATCCTTATTCATGTTGTAGAGAAGCTATGATATTCTCTTTCGTCGTGCGCGTCACACCACGTCT